AGAAACATCCTTTTCTAAATCATTGTCTTGGCCTGTCAGTTGTAAATCCACTTTCAACACCATCTCCATCTTGTCAGATAAAATTTGTTCTACATCTGACACGTCTTCAATAACGTATTTTGGACATAGTTTATCCATGGAAGCAGACATCATCACTGACATTAATGGCTACTATTTTCTGATTCCATTCTTCAAAAGTCTCCTTCAGTATTGTTATTGTTAGAACATTTTGGACCATCTTGGAGGCCTGTATATCTTTACCTAAAATCTTTAGTGTCCAGTTTTTGAAATCATAAAATTCTTTATCTGTTATGTCTTTTAAAAACCAAAACAGGTTCTATTTCCTATGAGAAGCTGTTTATACTTTATAATTAATTCCACAATCTTATTGTAAAAGTTTCAATATTCCAATTTTACCTGGACCCTTAATCCATTTATAAGATCAAAATCTTATTTAGCTTTTTGCTGTTTATTTCAGATTCTTTAAATTCTTAAGCTTATGATTGATTTTTTTTTTCATTCAAGATTGAAGGCAAACTCACACGGGGTTTTCAAATTTGTTATTCTGAAGGTCTCTAATAGCTTAGAAATAGTTAATGAGCAATTTCCGAAAGTGAGGTTTGCGAACTTAGTGTCCTTTAAAAGTCTCCACCATGGTTGCAAGCAAGATAGCTAATCCTGTTGTCTCCTAGTGCTCAAGACCCACAGAAAATCATTGTCCTGTGATCTCCTTGTGAGGAGCAGCCATCTGGAGCACTCTCCCATCCTCTCCTTATCTGGAGAGATTCCAAGGAACCGGTCTACTCACTGGTTCCTTGGTCTTTCCTGCAGTCGTTGACTCCACTTTCACAGAGCCATCTTCAGTTTGCCATACCTGCCCTGGAAGTCCCATTTGTATCAGTCTGAAAATGGCATTTGTTTTTTCAAACTTTAAAATATGAAATTATATTTCAAAAATTAACATTGCTTTCTATTGCTTTGATAGCTTCCTCTTCTACATGCTGGCCCAGTAGATACTGTAGATAGTTGGAGTATTAAAACGACTGGTAAAACAGAACTACCAAAGCTCCCTAAATCGGCTCCACATCTTCAGCTACCTTCATTGAGTGTAAGGCCAGGTCAAGTCCTTCAGTTTGTGCTGATGCTCAACTTACCTCCAAATACTAAACTGACTGAAGAAGTGCCCAGCTCCTGGTTTTTTACTGCAGAAGGTAAAAGAGCCCAACTTCCTGTTTACGAGGATACGTGCTAAACCTCTATTTCTCTTTTATCCAAGTACATTTACTTAGATGGTAGTAGACTGTGTTTTTTTAAAAAAATCTTAGGATACACATACAGTATCCTTATTATCCTAGCTTTAGCCAAGGAGGACTATCTTCAGGCCACATGTAAGCCGTAGAAGGGGCTGATTGGGCTGCCACATATAACAGGCACAGTTTCTGTCTCTGCATTGCCACTTGCCATTTAGAGTAGGAGCACAGCAATTTTAAATTAAATGTACAGCCCATATAAATTCTAATTAAAACATCATTTTATTATAACAATTTATATGGACTACATTTAATTATAACATTTTCATCAATTAGAAGTAATGGAGTTGATTGAACTAGCGAAATGTGTATTCCATTCACAAGGAGGCTGCCTATGGGTTAACATAAAAGAGTTAAATAAAAAAAAATGTAATCAGTAAATGAATACTGAGTTCTTTCATTTGCATGTACTTTTCTGTAAAACTTGGGAGCGCTTGAATATTTATATACTTCAGCTTGTATTTCCTATATTCCTATATTCAGCTCCTGTTATAGTATGATTCTGCCTGTGAAAGTTTTCTACTTGTTCTTTCATAGTTGTTTTAATGCAAAACATAACAATATTGCTTTATGATTACATAAATCATCAAATAGTAATAGAGTATCTTTTCTTTTCTAGGGAATGAATGGCTACTTTGTGAACCACATAGATCTGGAACAATTGCAGACATTTCGGAACAGTTTATAATCCCATTTCAGATACCCACTAACTGCTTGTCAGCTGAAGCTTTATTGTCAATCAACGTGTGCCTCTATTACTGTAGCAAGGACAGTAACACCTGTGTGATGAAAGGAATCTCATTCAACCAGCCTTTCCATATAGCAAACGTAAACCAAAAAAGCATAGCTCCAGTTGAGCTCACATATGCATTTTAATTTTAAGCATAGCAAAGCAGAAGACCATTTACTGTCTTAATTACTACAGCCTAATTCTTTACTGCAAAACAGACTGAACTTTTGCATTAGTATATACATGTTACTTCATGTTTGAACTTACAGTAAATCCTGCAAAGATATGTATATGCATACTTGATCAGATGTGTAAATGGAATGTGGGAAATCATGAAAATGTATCTAAATACTAATACCTTATTTACTTATTGTATAAGCCATAAATACTGAAGTGGGTTGGGATCACTGTGTGAATAAATAGAAAACCCTAAACAAAGAAAAGGTCAATTTATATCTTCAGAGCACGCTCTCAATGTTACAGCAAATTCACATTTAAGCTTGATTTTTTTTCCTGTATTATATAAAAGTTTTTGATCACATTTCCTGCATCAGGAGGCCTTGCTCATGGTCACTCATGCCATGATCACCTCTCTGTTAGATTACTGCAATTTGCTCTACATAGGGCTACCCTTGAAGATCACCCAGAACTTACAACTGGTCCAGCATGCAGTGGCACATGAGTTCTGGTTATGGTGCTTCAAGCTTTGCCTATGTTCAACCACTGCTGTGCAAGCTGTACTGGCTTCTAGTTGTTTTCAAAGCCCTAAATGACATGCGGCCAGGTTATTTGCAGGACCACCTATCCCTCAGGGTTTCTGTCCATCCTACCAGGTCAGATAGAGTGGGTCGCTCCAGGTCCCTTTCCTTGAATGTTACCATCTGGTGGGGCCTTTGAGACACACTTTTTCAGTGGCTGCCCTGACCCTTTGGAAGAGCCTGCCCCCTGCGATTCAGAGGCTCCCACCCTATTAGCCTTTGGAGGACTATGAAGACCTGGCTCTTCACTCAGGCTTTGGGCTAGGATAGAAGTGAGCCCAGCAAATGTAAGCGTAAATGTATGGGGTAAATGTATGGGATTTTGCAGCATTGTGGTTGGAATATATGGTGTTGCAAGGTTTGGTTGGTTTTATTTATTATGTTTTATTGAACATTATTGTGAGCCACCTAGAATTATCATGTATAAGATAGGCGGCCATAACCCTAACCCCAGTCCCTGAGACAAGTTTTTACAGAACTTCGTTTTCAAACAATGCCAACAGCCTATTTAGACAGAAGATATAGAGGGTTACCAACTACACACCGTTTATGCATTTGTAATACCTCACAGGTGGAAGATCTGACTCATTATTTATTACATTGCGGATTATATCAAGAACCAAGAGTTAGATTTATTACGCCTTTGCTTAGTCAGCTGAATCAGACTAATCTAGAAAAAATTATTTTTTCTTGTCTGATGAAAATGAATATGTAACCAGTCAAGTTGCATTGTTTGCAATGGCTGCAAGAAAGATACGGAGGCAAATGTTGACAAATAGTGCGGCAAATCCTAGAGGGGATGGACTGAACTGATATGGATTGCTGTAATTTTAAATGAATTTTGCTAAAACCTATGGTTGCAAATAAACGTATGAAATGAAATGAAAGTTTTATAAATAAATATTTAAGTAACATGCTTTTTGAAGTCATCCTTAAATGTTTTCAGCTTATTTTTACATGAAGACTGTCTCTATAAAAACTAATCTATTTAATATCTATGCCTTATAGTTTTTGGAATACAATTTTGAACTGCACTGATGTTCTACATTCTTCGAAGTGCCACACTCCCTTCATAAATAGGGTGAAACTTTAGAATTTAATAGCAATAAGCTAAAATGTTTAGGTCTTGATATTAAGATTATTTGTTGAGATTTTCAGAGCTATACTAAAGTCAATTGGATATAAACCATGTGTTAAATGTATGACAGACTGACTTAAATCTATGGAAATAGTTCATTAGTTTAATAAAATGCATTTGGATTGAACAATACTGTCCAGATTTATTTATTTATTTAGTTCAGGGGTTCTCAAAGTACACCTGATTGGCCGCCGCTGCTGTCTGTCAGAAGCGGAAGTGTTGGGGCTGTGTCGGGAGCTGCAGGCAATGCACGAGGAGGGAGATCGCAGAGCCGGACTATTCTACATGACAGGTATGCCAGGTCCGGTGACATAGTCTAGCCCCCCAACATTCTGAGGGACTGTGAACTGGCCCTCCTCTCCTATGCAAAAGCTAAGGGAATTGATATTCGTAGCTAGGAGTAACATTTTTAATAACATCTGAAAATTAAAAGGCTGAAATAATTAGTTTTTTATTGTCTACGACATCTAAAATGCTACTGAAAAATTGTCAAGGCTTGTACTGAAAGAAAAAGCTGTATGGTATAGTATGGCATGGTTCAGGTTTTCCTTCTACTTCAATATTATTTGCCAGCACAAGTGAAAGATACAAAGTGGATCACATTCCAAAAATAATACTATTCTCTCCAACATTGTCTAGAATTTAATATTTCAGCAGCAATCTGTCCTATCATGCAAACTATTTTTAAGAACTCTTTTAAGTACATTTGTGCATGTGATAAAGAAATAACAGGCATAGTGTTTTCTTCATTTTTTGAAATGTTTATCCCCCTCATAGATCTTATATGGTTAGAGAGAAAAATAGTATCTTCCAGCATAACAAGATTTATCCAAGTAATCAATGGCACCTCTTCAAATAATGTGCTTTTACATTGTTTATTTTTAATGCCATCTTGGCTAAAAACCAGGAACCTACTCATACATTTTCAATCACTGACTTTTTTTAAATTTTGTTTTGCATAGAAGTCTCTGCTAACATAACCACTCTTTCAGCTCAGGAAATTAATAGACTTTCTCCATTCCCACCAGACAGAGAGTAAAGATGTTGATTTAACCTATGCTATGAATTCATTTTAAAAAGTTTCACTGGCAATCAAGCAGAATGGAAGTTACTGCATGATAACCTTTAAAAGTTAAACTTAGATTTGATATTTGATTTCATAAACTATGTGTTATTGTTATTGTTATAACATCTGTATTTAGACACTGACAAATCAGCTTGGAAGCCTTTTAAATGTTTCTTGATTTTATCTTGTACACTTTATCAGGACAGGATAATATAGGATAATAGGCTAAGGTCCGAGATAGGAAAATTTTAAACAAGTATTCAAAGTCAAAGCTTTTTAATGAATACCATGTACATAGTGTTTAAGTGGTCTCTTTCAGTGTTTTTATTATGTCAGGATGAGAAGTGAATAGATTGTGCCCAAAATAATCATGTAAAAGCAAAAGAAAAACTACAGTTTGCCAATTGCTCTATCTACCATTTTTCACTTTATAAAACTGAATAAATGACGTATAAGAGTTTGGCTCAGGTATGATATAAAATTATTTTACTTATTTAATGTTATATAATAAAACATAGCTGGCTGGGGAGTTGAAGTCCACATATCTTAAAGTTGCCAAGGTTGAGAAACACTGATCTAGAGACTGGACTCAGAGGCTTTCATGTGCCTCTGCCACCTCAAGTTCTGGCTTACATTAGTCTTAGTCTTTACTGAGAACTCTGTAGCTTCCCTGATCTTACAGGATAATTACATATTAGTGCAGAAGAAAAGCATAATTGGACCTAACATATCCAATGGCCTATGAGCTCTCTATCTGATCTCAAAAAGGACTCAATGCAACTAGAGCAATGGGTCCTTGGTAATGCTCTCTAGAGGTCTCTAGTACATGCTCCTTTTTACATGGAATGGGCTTGACTGGAAGACTCTTCTCCTAGGCTAATTATTCAGTTAACATTTATGTTCATTTCTTAGAAAAGCTTTCAGATTTCCCAGATTCCATTCTACTGAAAGAAGATTTAGTGTGAGAGTGTCTATAATTTTGGCCAGTGGGGAAATCATTTCACACGTACTCCTGTGATGCCCTTTTTGTCTGGCTTGTTGAGCAGCTGTATTATTACCTTCTAAGCATTTGCCATGATAGTTCAGAAGAAAATACTCTGTTCCTTTTAGATAATAGATCTTTCCTAGCCTCCTGAAAGGTAATCACATTTTGCTCAATTGCCACTGATATTTGTTACTTAACATTGTAGCTACTTTCCTGATGTTTTATTCAAATACATATCCTATTATGTCTAAACTCAGATCTTCATTCTATTTTTATGTATTTGTTTAAGAAATTTTGGTTTTGATTATAAATAAAGATAATAATCATGCTTTCTGTGGTTTAAACGCATGGGTTGTGCACTTGTGCAAAGCTCATTCAGAATTTTCTAAAGATTATGGCATTTCTTGGCAGGAGACCTGCCCTGTGGATAACACAAATTACTCAGTAGGTAAGGCTTCCACAGAAATCCTTCACACATATCAAACATTTGTTCTTGGAGCTCATCAGTTCCTGTAGAAGTTGACATTTTTCTTAACTTTATTTCATTTCATTTCATTTAGTATACTTTACTTACCTTTTGTTTACCACATGAGGAGTGTAGGGGTGGTTCAGATCCTTCTAGTTCTGCTTACCATCTTTCTGCACATCTGTGAGTCCTTCTGCTGATAGATAGCTATAGGTAACCTCTCCAGAGGCTGCTTTTGCCTTTCTTCCACAGTGTCGTTCCTAACTATTGACATGCCCATGACTTGAATTGAGAGGCCATCTTTGATTCCTTTGCATACAAGGGGTGCCATAATGGCTCCATACTTGGTTCATATTAGAGTCGTCATAATAGATGAATAGCTTGGAGCTATTAGCAGCTTGGGAAACACTTTGCATCTTCCAGGACCTATTCCTATGCCAAATAGTCCACTTTATATCAGACAGTGCTATGGTGCTCTGGTATATCAACAGATTTGGGGCACTAAATCGACTCTACTTTTAAACGTTACATTGCAAATTTGGCATCAGTGCATTATCCATTTGATTTTTATTGCTGCAATACTATGCATTCTTAATCAGAAATATACATTAAATGTAAAATATTGCAGAACTAATGCAATAAATGTGGATAGTTATTTCTATTCAGTATTGAAGATATGCATTTCATTTCAAGCTTTAACTTAGAAGCCTAAGCTCATCGGCTAAATCATAGCATGCCCACGCATATACTGGATTGCCTTGGAAAAACAATTAGACTGCATAAGTGCTTGATTTTTGTGAAGAGTTTTGAGGTGATGTAATATGGAACTAGAAATCTGTGGACAAATAGCAGTGTGCTTTATGTTTCAATAGCCTACCAATTATAACAGACTTCAAAAAACTCCAAAGCAAATTGGAAATCAAAAAGAAAAAGTGAAAAAATAAATCTGGCAATGGTAACTACTTACAAAGGTAAACATGAAGGACAGTCCTACTATAATAGATTTGAGTGAGGGACACTTTATTTTAAAAAAAACAATGTATTATTTTTCCAGTATTGTTATTTGTTAATTGTCTTATCTTAATGCCCTCTTTTTCTGAAGGACAGTGTTCCCAATGCAGAATGGCTATATATACATATCCTTGTCCTGGACTTCAAAATTCTCAAGGAGAATTTCACAGACTGCATAAAATACAGAACATTGTCTATCAGTTATAATTTCCAGGACAGTACAAAATAGGATCAATTTACTAAATTGATAGACAGGGATATGCTGTTCTTGGAGCTAGTGTTTCATACTCCCCTGCAATTTAAAGATTATTCATTTCTTCCCATTATTCATTTCTGCCTCCCTTTATCAAACAAAAATATTTTCAATTTCTGTAGCTAAATTTGCATAATTATTTTTAGCTGATTAGTTTAAAATCTGTTCCCACATGAAAGCCAAAGCATTTAAAATGCTTGATTAACTCTTAGCCAAAGCTTCCTATAATGTTTCTTATTTTCCATTGTATTTATTTATATTAAATTTATACCTCATCTTATATAAATACTCAAGGTGATTCATGCCAATCAAACAAAATATAAAACAATAGCCTCAGTACAATTCAAATCAAGATTAAAATAACTATCGTTAAAATCAATTAAGTTAAAAGCTTGGCAAAAGAGATATTTGTGTGTCATTTTCTTATATACTGGGAGACTGGGTATCTCCAATGTACCTCCTTAAAGAGAGTATTAGATAGCCTGAGAGCTACACAGAAACCCCACAGATGGCAGCAGGGCCGTCTTCCATGGAACTTTTCCTAAGGATCTAAGTAGCTGAGTGGTCTTGTAGCAAGAGGTATGCTCTCTCAGGCCCTAAGGTGTCAACAAAAGCACCTTAAATTGTATGCAGTAGGCTATCAGCAACCAGGGCATTTTTTTTTAATATGGGCATCATACTAATTGCAATGTAGCTTGCATTGGTGAGCAGCCTGACTGCCATATTTTGCACAATATGTAGAATATATGGTTGTACTCAAAGCAGATTGTAGCCAAAGTGTAGAGAACTGTTCAAATCTGGCCAGTTCTTACTTGGGCAAATATACTTCTCACCTCAGCCACCATCTGTAAATCAAGGAGAGCTGTCAGAAACAAACCTCGCCTTCTTGGGAGAGTGAAACCCCATCCAAAGCAGACATTACCTTAATCTCTTTTTTTTAATATACATTTTATTAAATTTCAGAAAGATTAAAATACAAAAAAGTCAACAAGAAAAGAAAAGCAACATCAAGAAAGAAAAAGCATAGAAAAAGAAAAGTTATTTCTGACTTTCTTTGGTACAGATATAAATGTAAACTACATTCACCTCTTGCTCTAATATTTAAAAAATTACCCAATACAAATAAATTTTAATCTAGCATTCAAAAGAACCATAGAATCAATCTATTTCAACATACATGTGATTTCTACAAAGTATTTCTATAGGTATAAAATACATCAGTCATCAAATCCCAAAATCAAAATTGCATTTTTTTGAGTATCAAGCAAAAAGTCCAAGAGTAGTTTCCAATTAGAAACAAAGCACTTTATCTTAATCTCTGAGTCAGTTTTTCTTTATCAATAGTA